CCCTATAGGCCCACGGTGACCCCCACAACCCCTGACGTCATGCAGGGCCTAAAGGCATGCTGGGGCATGCCCTAGGGCCACCCTTTCTAGCCAAGCCCCTCCAACCGCTCCCCATTGGTCCACAGGGCCGTGGGGGTGGCACAACCCCTCGGGGACCAATCCTCAGGCCACCCTAGGGTCACGGGGGACCCCAGACTCTAGGAATACACCCTATAGGCCCACGGTGACCCCCACAACCCCTGACGTCATGCAGGGCCTAAAGGCATGCTGGGGCATGCCCTAGGGCCACCCTTTCTAGCCAAGCCCCTCCAACCGCTCCCCATTGGTCCACAGGGCCGTGGGGGTGGCACAACCCCTCGGGGACCAATCCTCAGGCCACCCTAGGGTCACGGGGGACCCCAGACTCTAGGAATACACCCCTATAGGCCCACGGTGACCCCCACAACCCCCGACGTCACCGCTCGACCAGCCCCTTCCGCCGGAAGGGGCCTGGGTCGAGCGTGGACGCCGGAAGTCCCTCCCCTTCCGCTGCTGGGGGTCCAAAAGGGGGCGTGGCACCTGTCAAATTTGAGTTTGAATAAAGCTACCATTACCCTACTACTCACCACACTTCAAGAAAGATGCTAACAAATTGGAACAAGTTCAGAGGAGGGCGACAAGGCTGATCAGGGGGCTGGAAATCAAGTCTTATGAGGAAAGGCTGAAAGAACTGGGCATGTTTAGCCTTGAGAAAAGAAGACTGAGGGGTGATATGATAACACTTTTCAAATATTTGAAAGGCTGACATAGCCAGAACTGATAGGTTCAGGGTCTGTGCTTCAAGTAGAGTGTTCTGTGTGAACCAAACTGTGTGTCTGTATGAATGAGAATAAGCCACGTTACTATATCTTATTCACCTGATCAATTTATTTTCCCTGTGTGTTGTTTTAAATAAACCTTATTTTTTTATTGGTTAAAAATCCATCCCTGGTCTGGGTGACTTCTTACAGGGAATGGTTGGTGGCAGCTTAGTTAACGTGTGGCAGATCCCAGTAGGTCTGGGTTTGTCACAGTAAGTGCTCCAACACTGGAGGCATTCAAGAAAAACTTAGCTAATCACCTGGCACATATGCTTTGATTTGTATTCCTACACTGAGCAGGGGGTTGGACTTGATGGCCTTGTAGGCCCCTTCCAACTTCACTTTTCTATGATTGCATGACTATGATTTTAATATCTCTTTCAGTGCAGTACTGCTATTTCCGTTTGTGTGCTTTGTAGTGCCTACGCCCTTCCTGAACTGTTGCTAGATTGTCTTCAATTGTACTTTTCCTTCAGTGAACAGACATGGAAGATATGTCAGGCTTCCCTCCCTCCCCCTTGAACTACTACCCTCCAGCCCTATATGCACCCACCCGTAAGTGGTGGTGGAGGTGGAATTATCCAGAAAAGACTGTAGGAAGGTTGCAGAGGAGAAGGTAGAAACCTATCCTGCAAAGAGTGGAGGTCCATTCACATGAGTTTAGAATTGAGTGCTTCTCAGCCTTGGGTCCTCAGATGTTATTGAGCTATACAACTCCCAGAAATCCTGGCCAGCACAGCTAACGATTAACACTTCTAGCAGTTTTAGTCCAAGAACATCTGGAGAACCAAAGCTGGGGACCATTAGATTAGATATAATCCATTGTTCCTCACTTTTTTCTTTATTTTGGGAATGTAAATATATATTGAAAATGTGGGATAAATGTAATGTATTCAAATGCATAACTTTGCCATACACATTAAAGAACAAACATATCGGTTTAGAAAAATAGTAAGTGCTGTCATTCCTTATCTGCCTCACACTTCATCAGGACCCCCCAAAAAATGAAAATTTAAATTTAAAAAAACCTCCACTGAAAATGTATGCAAACCAGCTTGGCCTAGTCTGCTCAGCACATACCAGGGAGAAAAGCACAGACGGAAACAAGTAGCATCCGTTCCCCTCCCACTCGCAGCTGGTTGAAAGCCAAGATGGCTGCAGCACTGGCTCAGCTCCCCTGTGGCTCCTTTCCACACCAGTTCTTCTTCTCCCTCTTGGTCCTGCAGTATGGTGAGTAAGTGTGGCAGTGCCCTCCCTAGCACAGGGCCAACCAGTCACCCTCCCCTTGGGTTCAGCTTGCCTTCAGTCACTGGAGACCAGTTGACATAGTACTGTTCCTTCCCCTCCCCCACCCCCCCCCAGGTCCAGCTGACAGTCAATCTAACGTGAAAGTGATTCAGCAACCTCCATCTGAGAACCTGCTGCAAGGGAAGGCCCTGGAACTGAGATGTTCTGTGAACCAAGAGAACTATTATTTCTATTGGTACCGCCAAGTCCCGGGAGAGACCAAGCTACAATCCCTTGGGACTTTCCGCACCTTTGAAAGCACATTGCAGGAGCCAGCGGATGAGCTCAAGGAGCGGCTGAGCGGGGAAAGGAAAAACAACGAGTGCAGTTTGAATCTGGCAAGCCTGCAGTCGAGTGACAGCGGGCTGTATCTGTGTGCTGCAAAGGACACAGTGATTCTAGTAGGAGCAGCCACTGGCAGGAAACAGGGGACCAGGCAATCGTATGCATCCGCATGTATACAGATGTGCTGAGCAACAAGTGGCAGCAACACCCTACCTCTGTGGCCTCCACATCTGGCTCCTTTTGGAGTTTTTTATTTTTACTTCCCTGCTCCTAAAAGATTTCAGTTTGTTGTTCAACTGAGTTGTACAGTTCATAGGTCTCATCAAAGGTGGAAAAAGTTCTGAAAAGATTTATCTTTGTTTCATTTTTACATCACAAACACTTAACACTTTAATAGGGGTGTGTAAACTTTTTATATCCACTGTGTATATATATTTCTAACTGTAGAAGAATGTGCCCATGTTACAAAGGTTTGATTCTTGAGAATATGTGCAGGTTGTGTAGCACTGGCATAAAAATCAATGGCTTGGTTATTGGCCCTGAATGTATTTATAATTTTCATCATGTGCCTATGGGACATTGTATTGTCTGGATCCTTATAATGGATTGATAATGCTAGCCTCATATCACCTCTGGGGGGGAGGGCTACCTACTCATTGAGCAGAACTTTAAAAAGTTGCCTTTTGCATGACAGCCCCTGGAATTTCCCAACCAGTATGGCAGGATTGTGGAAACTGTAACTCCGCAATGTAGATTTGCCAGGCTCTGTTCTGGAGACACCCGTATTTCTAGATCCTGGGGACAAATTAGAGAGGAAGGTTGTGGTCTTCCATTCTGTCCTGTTTATGAGTGTTCCATGTGACTCTCAAGAAGGGCTCAAAGGCATCTGGATGGCCATTGTGAAAAGCAGAATGCAGTGAAGATGGACCTTGGTGATGGCTACAAGAGAATTGCTACCCCCATAGAAGACAGTGGCTGAGAGAAACAGGAAGCGGACATGGGAAGCGGTGAGATTTGAAGGGGTAAGTTATCCACCCTCTGACATCACCCATCCCATGACCCTAGTCCCAGGGAACAATCCATCTCCAAGATGCCAACAGTTCCCTGTTTCTGCCCTAAACTAATTTGCTGCCCACAGATGTAATGACCATCGACCACCAGGGCTGAATTAAGTTTCAGCTGTCAATCCCTTCACATTCTATACATGGAATGGAAAGGAGGCCATTTGGCTTTTCACTCCAGGCAGCACCAGCGGAATGACTTCTGCTTGTTCACCTCCTTACACAAAAAATAGGCAGTAGAGCAAATTTGTCACCAGAAGACAGAGTACCTTATTTGCTAAGTGCACAGCAGAAGCACTTCTCACTTGCTTTGTGCTGTGATTTGTCTTCAAAAACGTAAGGATGCGATTCCTTTGAAGTCTGATTTCTCACACCCCAAAGACTTCCCAAATGACATCTCTCCGACACTAACATGCTTTCAGCTCTCATCATGGTCTCTTTCCGCACTTGGTATCTATGGCGCCTCTCTTAACATCACTATGTCTATTGAAAATGAAACCGCACATCTGACAACAATGCAGCTTTCCGATGCAGCGAAGCCCTGCCAGGAAGAAGAAAGAAAGTCAGGGGGTACCTGGAAACCTGCAATGTGACCATCTGAGCCCCGATTCTCAGAATCTTCCAGCCAGCCTGACAATGTCTGTTCTCCCGAAGAGTTAATACTTCCATTCTATGCCAAAGGAAGAAGATGAAGAAGAGCCTTTATAAAACTGGCTACTAATTCACTGGAAGAAAGACGGAGAAAACTTGCTCCTTAGTCTGTTTCGGAGTTTTCACAAAGCGATCGATCAACGTGGTTATACAGGGACCACGGTGATACAAGCGCAGGCGAGGTCTTTACAGTAACCTCTTGCCGTGAAGAAACAGAGCGGCAGTCTCGCCCGGGAAGGAGATCCCAGCAACTACGAGGGAGCCCAGCGATTAACCCTTTCCTCCCTGGAATAACCTGACTCGGTGGAACAGAACAGGTCTGGGCTCGTGTGACGGCGGCGTTAGAGGTCCTCTTTCTCTCCGCCAGCGTAGTTTTGTTTTCCAGCATCCCTGGGGCTTTCTCTTCTCTCTCTTATTCTCCAAGGGGGGGGGAGGGGGAAGCTGTGGTTTCTTGCTTTCCCAAGTCCGTCTATGATCGGACTGAACCCCCTAACCGAGAGTCGGTCCTATGGCATTTGGGGCCACTGGGAGTCACTTAGGAGTAAACAGGACGGCAACCAGTTCCCCCTCTTGCTTGCTCTCTGCGGATGGGACGGATGGCGCTGAGGCACAGGACTCGCGTTACTAACGGCAAAGGAACTCTGCTTTTGCGTTTAGACCTTTCGAGCGAGAGCAAAAAGTCAGGACAAAGTCCGACCACGCCTCTCCCAACCCGCGGGCGTCAGCCTCCAGCCAGATCTAAGCCTCGAGGGCAGAAACGGTGGGAGTAGGGAGCGTATTCCTCTGGGAGACCCACTGATTTAAAACGGAGCCGCCAGAACTGGGGAGAGTCGGAGGCCGGTCGAGGCAGGCCGGTCGGATTCTCCCCCTGGCCTGTTGAACTCTCTACCCCGACGGGAGCGACCCGGAGCCAGTCTTTCAGAAGAAAGAGGTGCCTGTTCAACCCGAATTTCCGTCAAGAGGATTAGAGACCGCCGAAAGCCGCAAAACGCTGCCCGGCGCGACGTCGCCCCGGTCCAGCCATCGGTTTCAGTCCCCTCTGGATCCCAGGCGAGGGGGAGGGAGGTGGGGGGGCGGTCCAGGCAAGGACCGGGCCGGGCCGGATGGCTCCCCCGCCGTGGCGATGCGGGGTCTTATCGTTCTCCATCTCCGGTCCAGCTGGGGGGGGGGCGTTGGCAGCGGG